GCACCTTACGTTGAATAAAACTGAGATTTGGGAGCTTCGGATTCTTCGGCTTCGGCGATAGTAGGATATATGAGAATCATGATTGATGGTATCATTCAGTTTTCGAGTGACAAAAATATTCTATGTATGAAACGTTTCTGGGCATATGATAGGGAATATGAGTTTGCGGAAAAAGCGAATTCATTAAAATCATCTCTATTTGTAACAAAATAAAAACTGTAGCGGTATAGCGGTATAAGCATTTTGAATTTGTCGCAAATTCAAATTCCCCATAAAGTCTTTCTGGGTGCTTATATGGGTAGATAAATACGTAAATCAGGTTATCTCTCTATGCAGACACTAATAGATAGCTGGCAAAAACCTAAATAGATATCACTGTTTGTTTAGCTGAGTGTGGGTGAATCAGTTAGAATAGCAACGCCCACACCCACACCCTCAATATATAAGCCCTTACTATTTTATATTTCATTATTGGGCTCTTTACCGAACTCTCTATTAGGAAATTTTTGCGAGAGATCGTTTCGATAATTCTGTTTTTAAACTGTGCACTGTCTGTTACAAGCATGGTGTAAATAGATCATATCTTTAGACATTGATGATGGATAAGAGCAAACAAACGATAACAAGGGAATACCAGGTGAATCTTTTCGACGAACTCTAAAATTCTGACGTCGGAATTTTCATTTAATACTAATATAAGTTATTTATCTCTAACGGCAAGGAAGCACAGGAAGAATTTGATGAGAAACACAGCTTTTTGTAGGAAAAATAAAATTCTGTTAACATACCAACATACTCTACACAGATTAATAACTTCGGATATAAACTATATAAGTCGCACGATCACAGACATAGAATATCATACGCTACAAAATAGCTCACGCATTGACTCGAATCGTCGAAGAATAGAAATTAAATAGATTTTTCTATAATAGCCATTTTTAGTCCGAATAGGACAAAATATAATTTTTTCGTTTATTTATTTAGAAAAATGTATCGTATTCAAGCTGTTTGTTTGGGACATCAGAAAAGGATAACGGTTGATTATCAATCAGTAGATCAATTGAAAAGTGTCATCGCTGCCGAATTCGATAAATATTTAGTTAAAGATAAAGTAAAGAAAATACCAGTGGAATTTATACTAACATATAAAGATGAAGCAAATGGAAACGAAGAATTATTAAAAGATATGAACGTAATTGTTAGTAATAAAACTAGCACAATTTTCCCGTTATCTGTTAAACGGGTATGTATAAATCCAGCTGAAACCAATTCGTAAGAATTGTATAAGTTAGTAGGCTATTATACAAAGGAGATGCCACATATAGAAGCGAAGACTCAGAATTCAACTTGACCGTTTACAGTCGGGCAAATTATTGTATTTTACTAACCAAAGGAGTGTCTCGTCTGATACTTACAATGCCAACTGATTGCTTGCTACATCGTTCATAACATAAATAAGTGGTAGGAAATTCGTTAGAGTTAAGACAATGAAGAAGATGTGTTAATTTTGGAAAAAAAACTGATAGTATATTATACTGTATAGAATATATTTATAGTCATCTTTTTCATTCATCTTTCATAGATATGGGATTCATGTTGTGTATGTTTAAACCCGTTTGGAATTATATCTGATAGTTTACCGTGTGAATGTCAAGAGCCCGACTGTGGTTATCAATATTGTAATGGATGCGTGAAATCAATAATGGAGTGCAACAGTAGAAGAAACCAACCATTTTATTGCATGTATTGCGGCCATAAATATCATGAAGGTCCACGAATAAATAACCTTTTAATAGATCTATTATGGAAGCAATTTTATCTGAAATATGGTAGCGACTTATTAAATTCATTACATATTATGCCAGGAACACTATTAAATGATATTTCATGTCGAATAACTCATGTTCAGTGTCTAATAAAATATATAAAAAAGAAAAAACCCGATGCTTGTTCCATTCCTGGCAAGATCAAATCGTCGATCGAATGTGGAGTTCAATTAAACAACGATTTGAAGGAAATACAAATCATAGCGAAAGAAATACAAACAACAGATAGAACTGATGATTATTTACAGATTTGTTGCGACAAATATCGACGTCTTTTAAGTGGAAATGACGAAGCCAAGACAAATTGTGAACTTTTTATTGAAATTTGTGAAACATTGTTATACCACATTGAACAAACTGATTTTGAAACTTATTTTCCAACATTAAAACGGTTAATGGCCGATTGGGAATATTCGTTGAAGGCGAAAGAGAGTTTTGAACCAAAAGTTATAAAAATTTATAAAAGTTTTGAAGAAGATCTTAACGCAGTTGAGCTTGGAAATTTAGCATGCAGAGTTGGCTTTTTTGGCAACATTAGCGTGGGGAAAAGTTCACTGGTAAATGATGTACGAAAAAATGGCCACACCTACTCGGATGTTTTAGATGCAGAAATAGCCCCGCACATAGAAATTAATTCTCCGGTGAGTGTTGGTAAAAGTACATTGTGTCAGTTGGAATTTGAACATCAATATTCAGATGGTAAAAATGTTATCCTTGTTGATATTCAAGGATCAACTGATTATGATTCTAATTTAAAATCAGGAAATTATTTTGATGAATTAAGAAAAGCAAATTGTGAATTATATATTCTTGTTTTTCAAGATCGATTAACAGATATTCATAAAAAATGGTATGATTATATTGTAAATGTATTACATCGTGAATGCTGGCTAGTACGAAATAAAGTAGATGATTTATTTCTTCGTCTATTTCGAGAAGATGTCGGTGTAGAATTCAACTCATGTAGTGAAGCAAAAAGAAATAAATTCGCAGCCAATATAATTCAACGAATCCGAGAACAGGTTAGCTATGATTCAAATGGAGAAAAATTATCGAATTTGTATTTAACGTTCAGTTCGTCGGAAATAAATGATTATAATAGAAAGTTATCTGAAATGCCATATGCAAAATTCGATGTTGAAACGTTAACTGAAAATATTAAAAATTTACCAGTAGACTTTCGTAAAATTCGTTTACAAACGATAGCTATGAACGCCGTAGCTAAAATTATCAATATCTGTTTCCGTCGTGGTTATGTTGTTAATGTTTTGAAATATAAAATCGCTGCTGGTTTAGCTGCTATCATTCCGTTTGGCGATCTAATACCGAGATATTTGGGTCGGGAAGATATCCGTCAAGCTTTTGGAGTTAATAATCGTTCTCGTTTCATGGCTTGGTGGACTGGTGAAAAAGAAGAATTGAAAGATTATTTAAAAGGTTTTAGCATTGAAATCGATCCAAATAGCTTCAAAACATCAGCACTCAAAACAGCATTTGAACTACGTGGTACTTCGGCTGCCCCAAACGTCAATGCGGGAGTATCACTTATTGCTAGACCTGCAGCATCTGCTGGTATCGCTGGTGTTTCTTTGACAGATGATGTTATTAGAGTCGTTGGAGTTGGGGGAATAAATGCTGTTCGCGGTGTATCAATTGCTTTCATTGTTGTCGGCGTAGGTCTTACAGCGGCTTTGTGTGCCTGGTCAGCTGTAATGAATGGAAAACAAATGTATAATTATCTGAATCGGCTATGTGACGATATGATACTTATTAGTGCACCTATAGCCATGAAGATTATTGAAAACAACGAAAAACTACGAGAACAGCATTCAATCAATACTAAATAAAACGATTGATCGATCATGCGCTTTAATTCTTCACAGGTTTATTTCGGAAAAGAATATTCACTGCTATCTTTAATTAATAAAACAATTTATACAATAAAGCACTTTTGGATGTGGGTGTGAGCATGTATTTACCCTTGAACAACAGCCATACCCATACCCACACCTTCAAGCTCATACATATTGTTCACACAAAAAGCTTCAAATGCATTTTCGTATACTATTTTTTCTTATGTTTCTATTTTATATTATTTTCATAAAGATAAAAGTCAGTATGTTTGTCAATAAACAAAGTGCATACATTAATTTGCTATAATTTCTTTATTGTGCATCAAATTTTATCATCTTGAATATTTTAACATAAGTTAATCTTCCGTGCAAGTTTTTTTTTCGCTAAGAATACTGATCCTTTATCATTCCTATCATATTCTAGAAATCCCATCCTACAGATATCTCACAGTCACGTCACTGCAAAGCCTGGAAGCCAGTGGGAAAATCTTTCTTTTTCTAGAAAAGGGTTTTTTGGGCAAGGGGTTTGCACAGACATCTCTGCTCCATGCAATAACATTAATTAGTATACGTCCTCCTAAAAATAAGAACTAATGGTCGGTTTTTCATCAATAAATATGAATAAAACTAAAAGTGCTAATGAATTTGATAAACAGTTAAAATTCGCGAGAACAATCGAAATTTTCAAACGCAAAATTGAGAGAACCTCTTTTGTTTTATTTTTGGTTATAATACTGTTCGTTTTTCCATTTAGACACTATTACTTTAATATCTCGATCGAATCCAACATGATATCGGTCAAAAATTTAATGAAATAGCTCAATAACGAGAATTTGTTGACTAAAATATTCCTGTCAACAATTCTATTCATTCAATAATGGTATTTTTCTATCGGAAAAAAATGAATACAAGATTTTCCTTTTAAATACGTATTTATTCGACCATGCTAATCTTGAATCTGCAATTCGACAGGCATCGAAAAAAGATCGAAATGAACAGCAACTTCAAGAATATAAACAAATTTTATTTGTTCTGTCGAAAAAAAAATTGAATGAAGAAGAAAATCAAAGCTGACAAGTCTTTCACACAGAAGCAATGCAAAAAAGTAGTATCATCCAGAAAGTTTGGAAAGCATCTTAATCTTTAAAAAGATTACTTTAATCGAACATTACTTTTATATTAATAGTCATAGATTTTTAGATAGAATCATGATATAAAGAAGATTTATATCCATAAAATAATGCACACATCCACCTTTGGTTTTACCTACAGAATTTTAAATTATATAAATGTGTTTTGTTCTATTGACAATGTTTTCCTAACCGAAAGTCATAATCATGCTAATCCTCATAACTAATTCTACAATTAGCTCTTTAATTGATGAAATATTTCCAAAATGAAAGCAATTGTTTCATATTTAATCAATGTGAACAATAGCAAAGTAAGTCAACATAAAGAAAGATTTTTTATCAGAAATATTCTTAATAGATTTTAAACAAATGTTCACTTGTAACTGGTTGATTTGATACTGGACATCGATTATATTGTTTAACATAGTCATTAATACATGTATAACAATACACATAACTGGAACCAATTATTACTGTTGGTATATTACAAGGCTGTTGGCAAAGAGGACATTGATGTTTACCATTAATTATAGATCGTTTTCGATCGATAACAGGTAATGACTGATTGGCAATTTGATTAAGAGAATTTTGTTTTGAACTATTCCACCAATCAATCAATTGAATAACAAATAAACCGTTGGAAATAATTTGACTAATAACAGATAAAAATTGTCTACTACTTGATAGATTTGGAATGGTTGGTGATGGATCTTTGGCATAGGTTAATTTAACATTAGCTAATTGAAGAGTTGGACTATAATATTTCGTTAAACCAAATGCATAGCTTAAACGATACAACCAATTGATACCATCAATCAATATCTAGAGCAAAATTTTAAAATAAAAGCAACATTATTTCCATTTATTATTGAAAAAATATTCGAAAGCTGGTGTAAGAACCTACTTGAATTTTAGGTAAAAGTTGAAGCATCATATAATACGTGATATGACGATTAGTACTATTGGTATGCATTTGTTTATGTAAGGAGTCAATTTTTAATTTGATATACGGTAAAAAGACCGAAAATATTAGAGAACGTAATCGATGATCGGCTGTTCGCTTTAATCCATAGAAATGTTCACCGACTAGAGCAGAATATGAATGAAGATAGAACCATTGAATAATGCTTTCAATGAGTAGTATAAATTCATCTTTATATTGATAAAGAATTTTGACTAAGTTAGATAATGGATGAAATCGGCCTAACGTCTTAAGAATATGTCCAAGACAAGGACGTATAAATTTAGTTAAACGTTCTTGAGCAAGCAATTCAGATAAACTTGGTAAAATTGGTGAGATTCCAGTAGATGATAAGAAATCAAGTGTTGACTGAATATTTGACGATGACATATTCGTTCAATGGATGAAAATTATTATAAAAAATATTGTTTTATGGTAGTTAGGAAATGCACATCCATGTTAAATACAACTTCTATGGTGACATCTAGATTGATTGGAACTATGGAAAAAAAAACAAACAGTCGTTCGTCATTATACGAATCTGTTAAATCATAGGGCATATTTCATCTATGAAATTTTATTTTCATACAAATGAATCTTACGATGATGGCGCCACATGACGGTGTAGGATTAACATGAATATGAAAATAAAATTTACTTGAGCTCAATGAATCTATGAAATATTGCTCAAATCAAGTATTTCATACTAATCGATAAAAATAATTCATATCATTGAAGATATACTCGATTTATCTTAGCTGTTGTTGTGATAAAAAATTTGATTATCTCTGGCATATCTCAATAATATGGGCTGAAGCAGATAATTATTCAAAATTTTCTTCATAAGAAAAATATTGAAAAAGTTTTCTTTAAATTTTTTTTCACCTGACAAAGAATTTCAAATTTTTACAAATTCTGCAGAAACATCTTATAGTGGTTCTATTTCATATGGTTGTCGTAGTCAATGGAGTTGACTTGACTGCCCTTTATGTTCACATGAAAGTGTGAACGAATTTGCATGAAAACTTATTTAGATAACCATTTGTATGTATTTTATATCGCCTTAGTATTTCTAATTGGTTTGTATATTTTCTCGCTTTAGTTTGTGACAGTATTTTTGTTGTATTCTTGCTAACTCTTGTTTTTGCATTTTTTGTTAACAAGAACCGACTGAAGACATCACAAGAACAGGTATTTTTGAGGCAATGCATATGCAAACGTTAAATTATTCGTAAATATTCTAGCTGATGGTTTTTGATTACATTGCATAATAATCGATAGTTTTTATTCTGACTCCTCGATTTTCGTTTGATGACTCTATTCATACGTGTAACTCAAAATCATTGCCTTTATCAGGTATTTGACTTGAAAACAAAATATTTCAGTGTACACCGAATTAACGCTGTCTATAAAATCGAATTAAGAGTATTATATTTTATTTGAATATTAAGAAAACCATGCAAAGATAAGTATAAGTAATGTTAAAGATTCTGGAATAAGTTGACTGAAAATATGAAATGTTTCTTGAAATCACGAGAGGTCAGTAAAAGTAAAATAAATAAAATAATCACTGAAGATAATTTGAATAGGATATTTTTAAAATTGTTCAATGACTTTCACTGCTGCTCCGCAACTAGGACAAATGATATCTCGCGCCTGATTATCATAGCGAGCATTATTAGGTTTCAAATGAACTGTTTGTGCTGGCTGCAGTGATTATGCGGGCAGTGTATTCTATGTTGACATTCCATAACCTGAAGTCTGATTGGGTGCATGCTGACCTGCCCATTGTGGATCATCATTCGGTCTGTGCTCATCATCGAGTACTGCTCGTATGTATACATAGATATAAATAGCAATAAAAAGTAGAGATGATACAAGCATGATCACGGAACCAGCTAATTGTCCTTTGGTTATTCCGAGAAAAATTGACGCCATATTGACGGTATTCTGTATTGATGTTGTGCAGTCAAGACTGCTCGTAGCAGAATCTAGAGACAATTGACCATTAATATATTTGTTATCAAAACTGATCAGTACAGCTGCGAAGATGAAAGCAAGAACATTTGTTATCATTACATATGTTGCACAGGCAACAGATGATCGATTACAGCAACCTAATCAAAACAAAATTTCAATAAAAAATTGAAGAAAAGTATGTTAATGGAAGTTCAAAATTCTCAATTAATTTATCAAATCGTGGTCTCAATTTCTGCGTTTTTTCAATTCTCCAATCTGACTAAATGAAAAAGATTATCCATTATAGAACGTTCTAAATGGGAAACCAAACACGTTTGCACTTTGTTGAAACTCTCAGTTGAATCTCACGCCTGAATTTATTTAAAAAGGTCTGAATTTTGACTATATCTCGATTAGCAATTATGACTCATGTTTCTGCTAGATTTTTCTTCTCTGATTCATAATTATATTCTATCATATTGTTGAATATATACTATGTTGCATCTGAGTTTAACTTTAGAAATAAGAAGTAAAACAATGAGTACATACTGACACAGAAGATTGAAATCCAGCATGTCAAGAAAAATCCCCAGCAAATAAAGCCCATAACATACCAACTCCTGAAAACAGAACAAAGAGAACCCAAACCAATAATAACAATAGCAATATGAAGTCCCACAACAACAAATGAAACAAAAAGCTGAAGGACAGCAATTAAAGATACAATGCTACCAAGCCAATAATGTTTCCAACGTTGCCCATTCGGCCAGTATGAGTTAGCGCACATTGCTTATGTAAAACAATCTACGATTATAAAAACAGATTGAATTATGAACAACAGAATCTGAAAGAAAATGATGCAAAATAACTACTATCGCCTGATAAAATAGTTTTATATGCATTGATTATACCGTCTATAATTTCGACATTAGTTTTTTAAGAAAGATAAATGAAAAGAAAAGCGCATGTTATATACAGCGTTGTTTTGTAACTAAACTTGTCGTAACCAACAACAAGAATTACAATATTACTTTCGAACGGAATCGATCGAGATTTTTCTTCTACTTCAAATGTCTAACATCCCTAGTCTTGAAGAAAAATAAACTTCAACGAAAAGAAAAGAACTCCGAGACTGTCAGATAATAACAAGCGTACCGATCGTTTTTCTTGTAAATCGTGATTTCTAACAAGAGGTGTAAGCCGTGTGGCTGATCTGACGCCGCCACCAAGGGGTGAGTAATTTTGGAAATTTCTCAGTCGTCACCGACATATATTTTCTTCTTCATTACTGATCGTAATGTTACTAATATATTTTTTCTATTATGTCAAGATGAAATTTAAAGTTATTTCAAATAGTTTTTGAGGATATTATTGAACAAGTATTGAAATAAATAGGGATGCACCAATACCATGGGGAGACACAAAGATTGTCAATTTTCACAATGAAAATCTACCAATACCAACCAATACTTCGCGCTAGCTATAACCAGCGAAGTTAGCTCTATCCGATAGGAGTATATAAAATATCAATACCAACAGAAAAGATTCTCAATATTGGTGAGTATTCGTGAAAATTACTGTTTTTTTACCAATACTCACCAATATTGGGAATCTTTTCTGTTGGTATTGATATTTTATATACTCCTATCGGATAGAGCTAACTTCGCTGGTTATAGCTAGCGCGAAGTATTGGTTGGTATTGGTGGATTTTCATTGTGATAATTGGCAATCTTTATGTGTCTCCAAATGGTATTGTTACATCCCTAGAAATAAACATGTATTTCTTATTCTCGAAAGAATAACTAAATTTTAACTTAAGAGCCGCCGGCACCATTACCAGAAAAAAAAACTCATTTTTACAGTCACCGCTGCGAACAAAAAATAAATGAATATTTTTAACCTCCATCGTCAACGAGCCTATATATTTAAGCTAGCAGCCGCCGCAATTAAAAAAATATTAAAAATATTAGCCGCCATCGCCAACGAGCCCATAGATTTAAGCTAGCAGCCGCCGCAATTAAAAATATATTAGCAGTCGCCGCCGATCGACCCATCGGCTTACATGCCTATTTCTAGCAAATACTTGAATGCATATTGAAGAAAAATTCACCATTCTACGAATTCGCTTTTATCAACTTCTATTGTATGCGTTTAAAGAACATAAATATTTGTACATCTATCATACTTTATATAGTATAACTAGTTAAACACACTCATCAATACTAATCTGTTATAGAAAAAATAATTCAAGCGCCAAATATTTATGTCTACCAAGGTGAATGAATCCGGCAGTGAATCCTATCGGATCACATAGGATCTGACAAGCTGACAAAATCTGATCAGATTCTTGGTCACGAACCTACTAACGGATGCGAAGAAAATAAAACATTTTCTTATAATCACCAATGAATAAGCATGCAGTGCTAACAGAATATATGGGTCGAATGGTTATGTTGAATTCTGTTCAATCCGACACCGGGACCTATCGAATACCGATAGGATTTCGTCGTTTTAATGAAATCCATACTATATCCGATAAGATTCCTACACTTTAAGCTAGAAAATAAGTTGCAGAATTTAATCAATAAATATTCAAAACATGAACTTTGATTTGCTAATTGGAAAATCGAGAGCGAATTCATGTAGGCATTCCTAGAATTTCTGATCCGATATAGCAATTGGAGTATATTCTAAAAACTAGAAAATCGAATTTGATTTTCTCGTTATCATGAAACATTTATACGTGACGATGGAAATAAAATCAAATACAGCATAAACAAATAAAATATATATAACAATAAAATACCATATGAAAAAATAAAATAACAAGCATTGCAGACTAAAACAAAATAAAAAATCAAACAAAAAAAAAGTAATAGAATAGAAGCTAAAATAAAATAAAATAAAATAAAAACTAAAACAGAACAATAATTAACATAAAATAAGAACTAAAAAATTAAAAGGTAAAAGGAAATAAAAACAAAATGAAATGAAAAAAACAGGATTCAACAGCTCCTAATAGCGAGTTGAAGAAAATAATGAATGTTTAACATTATACCTACTAACTTATATACTAAGACAGGACAATGACTAAGTGACGGTCTTTGTTTCAACAATCTGAGAAGAAATAGTATCAATTTTTTCGTTTTTAAAAATTCTCAATCAATTTTCTATGAAATCAGAACTGATTTTCCATGTTATAGAAAATGATTTCTTTTGAAATTCAAATTGTATTTCAATAAATGGGAAAATCAAGCATTCTCAGTTTGTTCAAAATTCAATGAATAAACCAATAAGGTTTTAAAATGCTTCAGCTTATTGAAGATCGATTTTCGAATTTATAGAACTTAAAAACAAAAATTACAGTGTACACGAAGCCGGTAGGATCCCACCAGTGTTTCCAATGGAAATCCAAAACAATATGTACTGTA